TTTTTTGTCTAAATCCGTGAATTTGCTTTGCTCATGCTAAATCTCGAAAAAACACTATATAAAATTTACTATTGTTTTTTATTCATAATGTTGAATGTGTTAAAATTCTTCACCTTCTTAACAGGAAAAATCTCGAGTTCATGTTAAAAATTACCCACAAAACATTCTTGATTTGTTTAAGAAGCATTGATCTTACATTTTCATAAAGATTAGTCGCCAACGCATCTCCGCTGAAAACAAAAGTTTTACAAAGATTCCAACACAACACAAATGGGATTGTCTTAAAAGTTTATTTTAAAAACAATATTTTAGTTTTCGGAAAAATTTCCCATCTGTTGAAATCCTTAAACATTTTTATTTTAAAATTATTTTCTCGGTTTTATCTTTCTAGAAATGTAAAATAGGGACTAGAAATTTTATTTTAATTACAAGCCGTGGAATTCTGGTTTGTATTACTATTTAAAATAAATATATATATATATATATATATATATATATATATATATATATATATATATATATATCTGTGATCCTCCCTAGTGGAGTATCTTGGAATAAAAAATGATTTTACCGCGATATATTACCCTCTTAATTGATTTTTAAAAAGTCTGTTCAGAAAGAAAATTACAATTTAATTTTTTTTTTTTTTAAGCGCTACTAAAATTAGCACTTCTATCCACCTCCACACGTCTACCACTTCGTCCCCAGCCCCTCAACCTTCGGCGTCTTCCTCTTTGGGTTGAGGTGTCCACTCGGTCCGAACCGAACTTAGGGGTAACTGGCCGTATGCTCCCTGAGTACCCGTAGATTATTTCGACCGGCCAACTGGTCAAGTCCTGCTCGCTGCCCACGCTGTGTTAGTTTTTAGATCCAGTAAGCGGGGTGTTGTCCATACGTTCACGGTCGACAGGGAATGTGGACACGGCTGTGAGAGTTGGCGATAGGAAGTTTAGAATGTGGCAAAATAAAACAAGAAATAATATCTGCAGAAGCCAGACAACAATGCGGGAGATATTGACGTCTTTTATATAAGATAACATCAGAACAGAGGTTACAGGGAGAATAAAAAAAAAATTGGTATAAAAGAAAAAGACAAAATGCATCCAGCGAATTCCCAACAGAGAGAGGGTTTTTGTGTGATAAACGCGTATTGAATCGCCTGGGGTAGGTTTATGACTAATAGTCCCGTCTCATACAGACTACTCAGAACAGGAAGCAGTCTTCTTTCTCCCGCAAAATCTCTCGACTCACTGCGACGATAGTCTCGTGACTCTCTCGACTACAATCTCTTTCCCCGACTTTCTTTATTAGCAAAATCTCGAGTTAATATAGAAAAAGGATCAGCTGATCACAATTGACTCTCGGCCCAGCACGCAGCTACCACGAGTGCCAAAAACTATCCTTTGACATGTAAACCTATTCTCCAATTATTTACCTTATCTCAATCATGAGTTCTTCTCGCTTCACCAAAATTATACTTTGGTATATCTAAACATTGATTCAACCTTTTAATCAAAACAAATACTGTTAAACAAAACCAAGTATCTCGCCCATCCCCATTGTTTACTAGTGACACAGATTTAAAACATCGCATCCTTCCCTGAGATCATGTAAACACCGTTTCCATTTCCAATCAATAAAAGTTATATTTGCGTGTGTGCGTTCATGTGGGTGTGGGTGTGTGTATGTGTATACCTCTCTCTGTTACACACGTAGGCATGGGGCCCCCACGTAGTTGAGAGGTTCGGATAGTAAATGCCGCCCCATGTCGATTATTATAAATGATGATTGACAATATAACTTAGGTAGTAAAAAGTACAAATAGCAAAAAACAAAAAAAAAACACTGCTGAAACTACACCTTTTGGGGCTCCAACCGCGACTGACAATGTAACGTCGGTTTAAAAATAATTTTAAAAAATGGCGGATGGCCATAAAACAGGGCTGGAAAAAAATGGCAGAGGCCACAACGCCCCCCCCCCCAAGTATGGGGGAGGGGGTAGAAGCGCCTGCCCTGAGGGGCGCCGTATCATAGATGCGGAGGGGCACAAGACTATTGCACCAGTCCCGGAGAATGGTGGCACCAAAAGAGAAAACATTTAAATTAAAATGTGTTTATGTTATTTATTCATTTTTTTTATGTCCGTGTCGTGAGGAGACCTATCTACTCCTTTTGACAATAAATTACCCAACTTTCAGGTGTGCTTGATATCATTTTGGTGTGTTGACCTTGTTTTTTTTTGTTGTATTTTCGCCACGAAGTCAATCTGACCACAGACCAGATAAATTGTTTTTAGTCAATCCTTAAAAAACACGGATGTTATTTTAAAACTAAAAGACACCAGTTTCCTAACAACATTGAACATGGAAGACTTAACGTTTAGTGAATTTCAAATCAGTTCTTTAGATTTCCGTTAGATAAAATTTTCTGTGTGTGTTTTTCTTCATTCATTTTATTTATTTTATTTTTACACCATGCATTTTTAGTACCGCTACGGACTTCGAAAAACGCATTTCAAGTAATTTAAATGTCTCAAAGTTAAATTTTGGTTTTATTTAAAATATAAAGCTAATCCGTATTTAAAAAAAAAGTATATGAATAAAGTTTCCAGACATTTTTTTAAAAATTGACACGTTCACTCGTCACATCGCCATTATAGACGAAAGATGTAAACAATCAATTAAAAAAAATCTCTTAAATCTCCAATATTTGGTCTCTAGAGATGTATTTCGAAGTCAGTAAGGATTAATTAACTAGGTTTTTCTAAACATAACACTTATTTTTTGTAATGAAAATGATAGTAACCTTAATGCAGTACATAAAATTAAATTATTCATTCTAAGTTTCATAAAAGCGTGTAGAATTTTAAAAAAAAGAGGATATATTCTTAAGCTTTTTTTGGCTATATAAGGCTGAAGATAATTTAATTTTAAATATACCATTTTCTTGATTATTACACTGCTGGTATTCCGTATTTCATTATTTTTTTTTTAAATTCGCGCACTTTTAAGAGAAATTATATTAACAAAATTAGAGTTGTGATAAATTTGTTTTTTTTAAATGACTTTACATTTTTATTTTTTTTTTTATTATTTGCGTACCTGTTTGGTGTCATAAAATATTTAATTGCACCCATTGCGTTTAATATACTGAATTTTAAAAGTTATTGAATTATATATTCCGACAAGGAATCAAAGGTGGTAATTCAGAATTACTTTCTTTTTGAATATCCATGCAAAAACGAAAACAAATTTTTAAAAAATTTCACACTCGAAAAATGGCATTAGTAGACTTTTACATTTCTCGATTCTTCAAACGCGTCTTTTATTTTTAAAAAAATTCTTACGAACAGCAACGTGATTAATTTCAAAATAGCACTGAAAAATTACAAGTAATTTTAAAAAATAAATATTATTAAGTGTAGATTTTTTACTGACTTATCTGAAAAAAATGTTTTATTGAATTATGCAAGAAGCACCAACTATCAGAAAAAAATTAATTATTTTTTTGAGGTTTGTTTTTTTTTTTTTTTTTTTTTTTACGGTGGAGGGGTGAGTAATGTTCATGGACGAATTTTCCGTGTGTTCATACTCAATATTTCATCATCTTCAGTGATTTTTAGAAATTTTAGATACCACTACGAACTTTCTAAAAAACACAGCAAACACAAATTTGGTTTCTATTTGAAAGATAAAGACCTTTAAAGCTAATCCGAATTAAAACAAAAATTAATTTCCGTATATAAATAAAATAAAATTTATAGGTATTTTTAAAACATTCGCACGTTTTTTTTGTTGTTTTTTTTTTTTGTCACTCATCGAGCCGCCATAGTATACGAAAAAGTAAACATCTTTAAAATCCACTATTTGTCCGAGATATGTTTCGAAGTGTATTAAATGTAAGAATTAAACTGGATTTTTTTTTTTAAATCCTTCCTTATCTTTTACTTAAAAACGGAATGAAAATAACATTTTATTGATGCAGGTTAGTCTGTGAGGTCAAAGGACAGTAATTCTACCCTTGTCCTGAAAAGAAAAAAAAAACAATGCAGGAAAAAGTACGATAAAAACCTAAAGTAGTACGGAAGACCAGCAATGCGATAATCAATAATGTTTAAAACTAAAACAATAATGTTTTTAAAACTAAATTTTCTTTAACCTTATATAACCAAGAGTTTAAGAATATAGCTGTTTTATGAGCTTTTAATAAAATCATTAATTATAATAAGTTTATAAAAGCTCATAGAATGAAACGGAATAATAATTATTAATTAATATAATAATTTTATTTTTTACACTGACTGAACGGGAGATATGAAATTAGATTAATACTCCTTCGATATTGAATCACTAAAAATAGTAGACAGTCAACGCGAGATATCAGAATTATTTTCCTTTTTGTACATCCATACTAAAAAATAATTTAACTTGCTAAAAGAAACAAATAAAATAATTATTTTAAAAAGGGTTCACACTTAAAATCTTTAATCATCTTTAATAAAATAAACAGAAACTCTTGTGAGGAACAGCAGAGATTAATTTAAAAATTGCACTGAAATATTACAAGTATTTTTTTTTTATAATTAAGTTCACATTTTTTTTCTGGCGAATTAAAAAGTACACGTCATATTGAAAAAAATATTTCTCAAATATTGTTGTTTTTTTTTTTTTAATAAAATAACCTATTCAAATGGAATGAAAATATTCATTCGCTAATGAAAGAAATCTTGAAAATTTCGTTTGAATCGGATAATTCCGATTTTTTGGGGGGGGTACTATTTTAAAATGGGTTGTCGATTTCTTTTTTGCATTCATTGTGGAAAAAGTATCCATTTTGGATTTTGTGGTACGTAAACTGCAAATAAAACGATTTCAAGAATATTCCCTAATAATTCCCTGATTTTTGGAACTTTTTTTTTTTCTTTTCTAAACAGGCGGAAACAATTTTTGGCTTTCATTGGAGTGAAAACGCATCCATAATTGTGCTACATAATCATCATCATGACGGCGGCAACAACAACAACAGCAGGAGCAACATCTGAAATATTTTGTCAGTATCAAGGGAGATCATTTCCAATACTACGGGAGATAATTCTGTAAAGCAAAAAACACACGTGTTCATTTTACGCAGAAGAAGGTAAGTGTTTGTCGAGTTCGACTTGTAATTTGAAGTCCTTTTAACTCACTAAAACTAATTTCTTTGCCTGACTGATTTATTAATCTGTTATTTTTTTTCTTGGCAGCTCCAATTACATTGTCAAAGAAATCTCTCTTAATTCTTCCTTTTCACAAGACTAACGTTTCTTCTGAAATCCCAAATGAAATGTTTGTTTATGTACAAATAATTCACCCCGTATCATCCGTTTATTTTTTTTACTGGACGTTTGAATTAATTATACAGAAACTGCTCGGCTCATTTATAAGAACATATTTCATAACTTATTCTTTGTCCACATTATAGAAAATATTGTTTCGGTGTTATTGCTACAAAGGTTGCTTTTTTTTTTCTCTTAATTTAGGAAACTGCTAAAAGTTCCAACGGGAAAAAAGACATTGCAAGTGACTCGATCTCATTGAAATCCAATACAACTGGCTTATATTTCAATTCAATATATCCCCTTTTCTGATTAAATACTGAAACAATATGGGATAAAAGAAAATCTAATTTCCATAACAATAAAGTTAAGTAGTTAAAACTCAATTTTTCGGCTTCTTTTTAACATGAATTCTGTTTTGTCTTGCTAATGTCGATTCTGGTCGGGTAAAAAAATAAAATTCTCTTTCGGATTCTGGAGAATCATCAACGAAGAGTAAGAAGAGTCAACCAAAAATTTTAAAAACTATATTACATATGGACCTATTTCTGGTTGATATTATTAATTAGTTCTATCTTGTTCGGATATCCTTAAATGTGTGTGTATGGAATTATTTCAACCCGATGGTTTTATTATATAAGTCTCGCGTTTAATTTGATAATGTTGAACAAATGTTGAAAAATAATTTCGTTCCGTTTTACCGTTGATATGGGAGATTTATCTCCCTTTAGCAAAAAAAAAAAACTTTTCGTCCAGCCGTCGGAGTTTTAAAATGTGTAGTAGTATATTGTGTCAAAAGTGTCGACCCTCTCTACCAGTTAATACCTCTCCTTCGGGAAGTGGTTAGGGTTAACCCGTGGTGCCTGAAGCGTCTCTAAAAAGGCAACTGTTGTGTGGGGCAGTTTTTAGCCTCGTACCGGTGGAGTAATGGATAGCGGCTCGGATTGAGGATTCGAATTTCAGTCGAATCCTTAATCATTACATTCACTTACGTGCTAATACCCTTGCGAAAGGTATGAATCCTCTTCTTCTCTCCCCTCCCCCAAGCTATGGGTAAATAGCAGGATTGGATGGCAACTGGTCTACCACAAAAAGAAATGGTAACTTGCTGCAGGAAAAATCTGCCTCGTCAGTCATGTATTGAAATATACATGATCGCCTAAGCATGTATCACGCATGGCACTGAATCCCGTGTATGCAAGGGTCTTGTTACTTTAAATTGCCCTTGTTCCATATCCTATTTGAATGTATGTGTGGATAAATAAATATTATTCACTAGTTAGTTTCAAAACCAACAAATTATGAACAGCTCTGTCTTTTTAGCTCTGTAGTTCCCCCAAATTTTAGGAGGATGCTGCCCTACTCTTTTGCTTCTTAAACCAGGTTCTTAGTGTCCACACACTCAAATTTAAAACAACTAATTTAGCATTAAGTCTGTTTATGCCTCTCTATGGTGCATATATCCTTCAAACTTTGAACCGCCAAAATGAAACTTAACCTTGTTCTCTTGTATAGTTGTTAATTTTATTCCTTATTTATTGCCAACTTCAAATTCCAGTCCAGTACATTCACTTAGTTGCAAATACCTTTGGAAAAGGTATGTATTCTCCCTCTAGCTATGGGTTAAACAAGTGTTGTATCTGGAAAAAATTATTGTTATTCCCAAAAAATTGAAAAATGCAATATTCATTTGTAATAAAAGAATTATTCTTACACTCCAAAATGTTTTGGATTTTAATAGCACACAAAAGTTTAATAAACTGTATAAAAAAACAAAACAAAAAAAAACCTCAAATCCATCGATCAGTTTTTATTTACTAAGTGTAGATTAGATTTGGTACAAGTATGGAGCACTCAGTGAGGATCAACGTCCCTCAACAATAACTAAACAGCAAGATGAGACATTACACAACAAAGTAGCAAATTAATTTTACTCTTTGTAAAATTATGCTACTGAATGGATTTCATCTCATTTGTTTTTTTAAAAAAATTTTATTTATTCATTTTTTTTTATTTTTTTTTTAACAAAACTTGCTAATGCCTTTAATGTAAGGTTAAGGTCGTAGAACTTTTCTCAAAACTATACTTTAATGTAAATGACAAAAAATATAGTGACAATGTTAATAGCAGAAAAAAAGAGCCTATTTGGGTTTCATGTCCACAAATCTACCAATATTTTAGAAGAAATACAACCTTGTTTTGGGAACTTCTTTGATAAAGTGTTTTCCTAATGTCTTCTCTCTTCAAGTGACCAGCTAAAAGTCATCCCCCACCAAGTTTTGTCAAATACTCTCCTTTACACTCTAAGAAAAAGAAATGCTTTATACTGGTCACTCATATGGAAACAATTTTTTTTTTTTTTTTTTTAAAGACATTCTAAGCAAATTTGCTTTCTTGAGTACTGACTCCAATTCAGTGTTTTGTCACATTTGTCAGTTAACTTCATGCTTTAAAATGTTTTGATGTGAACAAGTGACAGTTCCTCCATAGGCTGAGGAAGAGTTATAGCTTGGAACATATTGTCGGCTTTGGGTTAAACTCCATTAGTTTTGGCAATTAAAGGTCTTCCCTTTTGGAGACAAAAACCACCAAAAAAAGGGGTGGGGCATCAACTGGGGTGGATCTGGTGTAGGTAAGAGTTATGTTCTCTTGAATAATAGGCTGTTTAGAGAAGACCATCTCTCAGCATAGACATCATTGCTAATTTGTATGACAATGATGATGCTTGGTCATCAACAAATCAAAGCCGATCTGTGGCTATTATATTCTACAACTGGTCATCAACACCTGATGAAGGCTGGACAGAACAACAACAACAGCAATGTTGTAATGATAATACATTTGGACTATTATCCTCATCTTTGTTGTTATCATTGCAATATTTCGGCTGTTATACCATCCAGCCTTCATCAGGGGCTTATGACCAATTGTAAATTAGCTTATCACTTAACTATATTTTAAGTAGTTCATCAAATTGATTCTGAGAATTAGGCCACCTTAAGGGAATTTAAAATTGAACCCTTTATTTAATCTATGGAGTAGAGTGTTCTCATTATGTTGTCCATTTTTAGGGATATCTTCTCGTTTTATTACCACTACCCAGTTATTGCTTACCATTCCACAAGTTAATAGCTTAGTAGATTAAAGTGTTGGTTCATGAACTTTGTGACATTAGTAAATTTGAGTTCAATCTTTGAGCTGGGTAATGCAGACTTTTTAAACTCCATAGAAATGAGACCGTCAAAAACTAAGACTAAAAGACAAGATGATATATCCCTAGACATGAGGGACAAGAACAATCTATCTCCCACCCACTCCACCGTAGGTTAATGGGTTCAGTTTAAAATTTCCTGAGGGTTACCCAAATCGAGTGACACCTGAAGTCAGAAAGTACAACCACCAAAATGATGATAACAAACATGATGCCATAAGTCCAAATATAAATAACGATAAGTCCTTGTGTCAGAAATTCAGACAGAAATTGGTCATTAATTTTTAAAACATCTTCCCTAAATTTTCTGCTGGTGAAGCTGTTGTTACTTCAGAGTCTATTAATGATGACTTTAGTACAACCCTAATTGGCAAATATCTGTATATATCTGGTTTTGCTGTTATCAGTTATATTTTGGGAATTCATCCTGTGAGTTTATTTGCTTTGTCAGCTCAGTTTAAGAATATACTGACTGTATCTACTTCAGAGGGGTAGTACTCTATCCCATATAAAAAAGGGGTTAACTTATGGGTGGATACACACAGACCTTAATATAAACTGGACCTGTGTCTACCCCTTTTGACTTAAGAACAGGCCAGAATAATGTCTACTCTTTTTGACTCCATCACAGACCGGCCTTGTGTTCACCCCTTTTTTTGACTCCAACTCTGCAGCAACCCTTTTCAATTCCAGCACAAACCAACCTTGTATCCACCCCTTTTGGATCTTGTACAAACTGGAGTTTAAATAACATAAAAAAAATTGTTGTAATAAACCCACCAACCTAATGAAACTATGTTTCTGTAACTACAGATACAACTTTTTTTTTTTTTCATTTTGCAGATCATGGGAGGTAATGATGTCGGCAAGAAACGATCACGGGCCTATTACAAGAAATGCATGCACAAGAAACGTAAAAAATGGAACTCAATGGATGTTGGAATGCAAGGCTTTTTGGTAACATGTAACAACAATGAGAGCCAGGCTGTAAAGGAAATGTACAATCTATTTAACGAATACGCTGATAAACTTTATGGACCAGAACAGGTAAGGGAGACAACTCCTCATGTCCTTTAATGATTGGAGTCAACAGATTGTTATTCTCTCTCAATCTATTGGCCATAATCAAAAGTAATTTGACAGGCAGTGTCTAAGGTAGATCTGTTGAATTTATACGGGTGAACCAAAAATATTTCTGCTTGTAATCAATCGGGGAACCTTTTCAGAGTTCAGTTACATTGGGATTGGCAAAAAGAGTTTAAAATCCAGCCGAGTCTAATGCATTCACTTTCATGTTATGCTTGTGAAAGGCATGAATCCATCCTTTCTCCTCTGCTCCCCACCAGTTATGAGTTAAACAACAGTGAAGACTGAACCCTCAAACTTTGGGTGGCAACCAGTCAAGGAGAAAAACAATCCTGGATTCAAAAACTGTGGGAAAGGCATTGGGAAACCACAGTATTTCCTAAGATGTCACAGTAATTCCCAGTTGATAAAGAAAGGCAATCATGGCTCTTCCAGTTTCCTTATGTCATGATGGGACCTCAAATTTTAAACATTGCTCTACATGTAACTTTCAATGATCCTAGACTCTTTTGAGTTTTAGTGGTTGTTTTTTGAGTGACTTTGTGTTTTAAATCATCATGACTGATACTTATCCACTTCCATGGCCCCACACCCCCCAAGGGAAAAGGTGCCACCCTTAAAAACATTCTCCTTCCACTTTTCAAATTCTGCAAGAGTGTTTGGCACTAATTAAATAAAGTGGCCCACTGATAAAAAAAAAAATAAAAAAATAGGGGAAAATGTTTTTGAAATAATTTTTATAGATTAGAATTCATTAGTTTTTCCTTGAGGCATGACATTTGTCAGAGTCAAAAAAAAAATATTGACTTTTTTCATGATTTCAGCAGGGGACCCTATTCATAATATCAACACAGTGTCAAATTGATCTTTGACATTTTACAGTTATTTGCACTAATCTGTTCTGGATATGTATACAAGACTGTATTTTTTTTTTTTTTTTTTTTTACAGAAATATTTTGTTTTAATTAATGAAGAAAAGTTTACATAATAAAAGTATTTATCCATTATTTCAGATAAGTAATTATTCTTTCCCAATGTTTGTGTATGTGCTTCCAAAAACAATGTTTTAAAAATTCAGAATTGAAGACGAAAAAAATCCCAATATCAATGATGTAAGCACAGTTTCAAACTTAACATTTGTAAGTAAAAGCTATGTCCAATAATAAAAAAAAAAAAGTCAAGGGTCATGTCAATTTGACACTCAATATTATGAACAGAACCGTTTCCCCATTTTAATTTTTTTTTTTTTTTTTTTTTTTTTTTTTTTTGTAAATTTATCTAGATTAAAATGTTAATAGCCAGGCTAAACCATTTATGGGCAATTATTTCAGTAGGTTTATGGAGTGTTTTTTTTTGTTTTTTTTATCTGTTGCATTCTAGTGTCATGGTTTAAAGAAGAAAACACTACAAGATAATGAGGGGAAACTTGAAAATACTGCAGAAGATGATGATGATGACGACGACGATGGTGATGATGAAGAAGAAGAAGACATTGAAAAGGCACTGAAAAAAGAGGTGAATGCATTGAAACAGACTGTTCCTGCAGAACGCCGATTCCAACAGTTAGACAGTGGTGCCAAAAACTGTCTTTTTATTAAGACCACTCTATCCAACCCATGTGAACTGATCCATGCCATCTTGAAAGATATATATGAGACGCAGGTGCAGAAATCACGTTTCGCTCTTCGTGTGATCCCAATCCAAACAATTTGCCGGGCTAATTTGACAGACATTAATAATTCGGCTGAGGATCTTTTTGAGCCTTTCTTCAGAACCACTTATGGTACTATGCTGACTTATGGCATTTCATTCAAAGCAAGAATGACCAGCAAAGTATCTAGGGATGAAGTCATTGATTCTCTCTGTCAAATCATAGGAGAAATGAATCCCTTGAACAAGGTAAGGGACAACTTTTCTTTTTCCCTGACCACCATTACTTTACTAATTATCTTTAATAAGTAAACATTTCAGCTTTCTGTATTTTTTTTTTTTTTAAATTATTTTATATCCAGAAAGAAATTCAACTTAACACATTGACTGCTAACTCAAAATTAGTGTTTGGGTCAAGTGCTCCACATAGCCCCATACTGATTTTGGGTTGGCACTATTTTATAAAAGGGTCTATTACATAAATAAATGTCCATCAAAGGAAGTTAAAAATTAGTAAGTCACAGAGTGGGTATCATAAGCAGTGGGTCTGTTTTTAAAAACAAAAAATAAACAAGCAGAACGATGCTTTTATTTGTCACCCAAGAATAAGCAAAAATGTGAAATTTACTGAAAAATAAGTAGTTTGTGATATTTTTATTTTATAAATGCAAATAGCCAAAGATATTTAGAGATATTTACTATGATTGATATTCAGGATAATTTGAAAAGTATTTTGTCAGGTGATTTTTATCTACTGTTGGGTTGGTGCTATCCAAAGACTTGATAGAATTTCATTGATTTTTTCTTAGATCAACCATTTTTAACAAACTTTATATAATGTCTATAGCTATAAGAGAAAAGTCATTGACAAAAAAAAAATCAAACAAATTTTGTATTTTTAATATTGACTTTATTCAACAAAATATTTGTCCTTTTGTCCGCTGCTGGAAGGAGTGAGTAACTTAATGGTTAAAGGCACAGCAAATGGAAACAACAAAGCAAGTTCAAACTCTGATTTAGTTTATGTTCATTTTTTTTTTTTTTTTTTTACATTAATGCCCTTGGGAAAGACAGGAATCCATTTCTTAAGCCATGGGTAAAATAGTCTGACAACCTGGGTTTTCAATCTTACCCCATAATAACCAACTTTCTTAAAATAAGATTAGCACCTTATAATTCCACTTTCTTAAAGGGAATTAAGTGAAGAAGTGCAGCATATTTACTGAATGCAGGAGGCAAGTGAAAACTTCCTTGTCAAATTGTCGCAATATAAAAGATGTGCCCTACAAATATTTACAGTAAATCAACCTTTTTCACTCCCCTCTTTCTTGTGGGGTGGGACACTTGTCATCCTGCTTCTGTGTGCTTTAAGACATGATGTCCTCGTTGACTGAAGAAAAGATACACTTTGATCTAAAAGTGGAGTAAAGGGGTCTAAAAATTCACTACTGCCTTCAAAATAAAAAAAATAACATGAAAATTTCAAGTGCAGATTCTTATAATAACCGGTTATATGGCTGATAAAACAACTCTCATTTTTTTTTTTTATTAACCATTTTCAAATTTCCTTTATTTTAATGTTAGTCAAAACTGAGAAACTGAAGCAAAATTTCTAAAGCTTTTTTGGTTATTATTGGGTACCACATTGAAATTTCTCTCTCCAAAAAATAAGTTTCTAAATATTTCAGTCTTAAGGGTTCTTTCTGAGATCAGATCTTTGGTATATTGCTCAATGACCAAATTTAGAATTTTTTTTTTTTTTTCATTCATTCAATAATTCCAAATGATAAGAAATTAGTTCTTTGATATCGGAACATTTGCTGGAGGCATTTAATCTGAGGAACAGGCTAATTTTTGTTATTTTACTTCAAAATCTCACAAACACCCCTATGTACTCCCTGCAATTCACTAGTGTGTCATGTCTACCCTTTTTTTTTTTATCAAAGATCTTACTCAACCACTTGATTAAACTATCTCTTTTTTCCTTATATTGACTTTCTTATTTTGTAGGTAAATTACAGTAATCCAGATTTGATCGTCCTAGTCGAAGTGCTGCGGGGATTTTGTTGCCTCAGTGTGGTAAAAGATTTCAATAAATTCCGCAAATATAATTTGCAAGAAACTGCTCGGGCTCAGCAGACTGAATCACGGCTGGCTGCAAGCAGCAGCAAGACAGATCCGCTGGACAATAATAAACCTTCTACTCCAACAACAAACTCTACTTCCACAGCTGTAGTGGACGCTGCTTCAACAGAAAAAGAAGGAACTGCTGCCACAACTGCAGCAGAAACTACTTCCACAGTTGCAGTGGACACTACAGCAGTGGAGGAAATGGCTTCTAGTGTCTGATTTACAAAAAGTGTTTAAGAATTTCTCAATGGTTCCTCTAGAAAGACATTTTCATGTTACCATCAAAGTAACTGATTCCCACCTCCAAGACTGTATACGAAATGAAACCATATCTCAGAATATCTCAGTAAACCAGTCATTGATGAAAACATACCTGGAATTAAATGCCAACAAAATAAATGCATATTTGAGGAGGTAGTTTAAAAAAAAAAAAAAAAAAGACAATTTTTGTGTCTTACTAGGTTTCAAATTGCAAATTGTATTTTAATCCCTTTTTCATTTTCAACATGACCAATTCACTTTTATTGCAGTCTTCATAAAAAATTTTTTTTTTTTTTTTTTCATTGTATTGATTGATTTGTAATGGTAAAAATATTATCTTAGTTAAAACCTGAGATTTTAAGGGGATGGTAGTAAAGGATGGACCCGCCCCACTAATTTTTTTTTTTTTTTTTATGTTTACAAATAGCAGTAGAGTGCTGGTCAAAATGTGTCGTCAGTGTTGATGGCTTGGGGGGTGTGCTCTATCCAATTGTGCTCCCTGTACCTATTGCAAAAGCCATTACTTTTGGAGCATCACATGATTTACTAAAAGAAAAAAAAACAAAAACAAACTACAAACTGACCAAAAATCATAATCATCATCATCATCAGGAGAGATATAAAGGGGCAAAATTGTAAGAGATAATAGCAGACTCTCCGCATTCTTTTCTTGTCTAATCCATGCCATCAAGAATATATGACAACACCATTTAGTTACTTTATACGTACAGAACCATTACAAAATTACTCTCCAATTATCAAGCCTACAAAGTCTTGTTTGTAAAGTTTCATAATGTCATCAGAAGAGTCCACAACATAGAGTTGGAAAATTCCTTCTGCTATATTAAAGAAAAGAAAAATACAATTTATATTTTTAAAAAGTGATAGTGTGAGAAATCATACAGTGGCCTGTTCAGTCCGTGTAATTATGTTTTTATATGCTAGACTGCGCATATGCACAAAGTGAGGAAAAATTCTTATGCAAACCCAAAATAGATTAAAAAGAAAACTTAACATTATAGAAACTGGACATAAATTTCTGCCACTTAATGCAGCTAAAATGCTTTTAATAATCAGTGGAGCACTTGGTTTTACTTGTTAGCAAACTCTGCAAGATTAGCTTGCCATATACAATCTAGAAATAATATTTATTAAGTTATATTGTTTTCTTTATTTCATTTAAAATAAGGAGGGGGTCAGGTATTTCAATTTGAGAGTAATTATTCCACAGAATTTGATTACATTTTTTTTTCTTTTCTTTTTACACTTCCTGCGGGAATTCTTAAAACTGGTGATTGTCTGATACACAAAGAATCCTAATAGGGTTTCCTTTCTGATATCCAACTTGGATGGGAATACAATTGGTTCCACCGTTAACCTTTCATTTCATGTTCAATTTGAAAAAGAAGGAAAAAAAAAAGTTCTTGTTCGCACATTGGGAGTGCATCCCTCACCTGAGAGAAAAGTGTCATATAGCTCTTCCAGTCCCAAACCCATGCTGATTACTGGCTAATACCTGCCCACTATCATTCATATGTAAATAGTCAGTGCCACCTATAAAATAAGTAGGTCTTCTCTCAACAGCCCATTGTGGAAGAGGACACAACTCCTGATCTGATGCTTACAGCACCACATACAACCAACCCCGAGTCTTTTCTCAGGCTGATCTGACTCTCCGTTGCAGTTTTCATTGTGAGGTTTTGACAAATAACCTATACTGAGGAGGGGGAGGCTGAAAAATTCTCAACCCAACCAAGCAGGGATTTTTAAAAAAAAATTCCTGCTGTTTGGCCAGATTTTGGAAAGTGGCTTGGGTTAAAATCTTTCAACACCCCCTCCCCACTTTGCAAAAATTTTAAATAGGTTATTTTGCATTCTCATCAAAAACTGATACCAAAAAAAAAAGGAAAAATACAATTTGTTACAGACTTTGTTGGTAGAGAAAGTATTTGGAGAAATGGTGCATTTGACTCGGAGCAAAACATCTTTTCATTAACCATTCTTTTGTGTTTATGCTCAAACATTTTGCAATACAATACACAGTATGCAACAATTTAATCCCCAGAATGGCTGTGTGAAAGAAAAATTTGCTTGACTGGTCACTATTGATTGTTGTTACTTTCAAATTACTCCCTGTGTGAATGTTTTGTTTAATGGCATGTCAACATCTAGTGAGTCATCTAATGTCAATCCAAGTAAGGTTGGGTTGTTTGGAGTTCTATGGCATATCAACCACTATGGGTTATTTAATGCCAAATCCAGTTTGCACATATATATTAAATATATATATATATTGTAAACATAATTTGAGGATAACGTCCTTAAACTACAGCTTGTTTATTCTTACTCAAGTAAATGGTTTCAAATCTTTCTATCTGGCATGAGTCAGTTATTTATATTAAATAAACTAATTCATTTGCATAGCCAATTGATGTACTTTTTCACTACCAGTTTTCTTTGCAGTGAAAAAAGTCCCAATGTAGTATTAATAAATATGGTATTGTTTAAATTTAATGGAGGTTGTTTCTTTTAAGAACGTTTCTTGTAGGCAAACTATTTTTGGGTTATAGTTGGTCAGAAGTTGTTGAAGTTCCTCATAATTTTCTCTGCAATTCCACTGTAGGATTGCATTATTTTGTAATTTCATTATTTGATGTGTAATTTGTCTGGATTGGAGTCAGTGCTCTTTTTTGACTTGTTTTTAGTGCTCGGCTTCCATCCTTTCTAAAAAACTAAACCTGTTTTCCGTGTCAATCTTTGAAGTTGATTGTTCTGTAGGTTGGTTTGATTCGGGGGTTTTGTATATTTTTCCCATTGATATTGATTTTAGAAGTTGAAAGACAGATTGATGATTGTTGGAGGTTTTGTCTTTTGGTAAGAATGGTCTGTGATGTTTTTTGGTTATTTATTTTTCATTCTTTATTTTGTCATGGGTTTTTTTAATCTGAGCTGGAACTTCCATTTGGAATGTTTGTTGAGTACTATTGGCATGTTCCTTCTTTAGCTCTGCCTGGAATTTTGTCCACTCGCTTGGATCTAGATTTATGAGTTTTTCGATTAGGATTCTATATTTGTTATCTTCATTGGTTGTTTTGGGCTCTCCGTGTAACAGAGGCATAGCTAGTCTCACCCATATAGACCTCTACAATTTTTCTGGCCTCCAAGAAAGACACATTTCTCTTATATTTTACCTCAATGATTTCTTTTTCTTTCCTGTAGACGTCACAAGATCTTGCGTATGCCGGATGATCCTGTTGACAATTTGGACATTTTAGTGGTTTCAAGCATTCCTCCTCTTTAAGATTTGGTTCTTTTTCTCCGCATTTGGCACATGTCTGTCGTCCTCTGCAAGCGTCCCTGTGGTGTCCAAATTTCTGACATTTGAAGCACCTCAAAGGAGCTGGGACGTACTGTTCGACTCTCTCCAGACAATAGCCTATTTTGACAGCTTTAGGGGTTTGGGGCTGGTTAAAAGTCAATATGTAGATGTTTGTTTTGACTTTTTCATCAACCTTTCTTATAGTCACTCTTCTTATATTTGTCACTCTCTCTTTTCCCAGGGACATCTCTTATCTCGTCTTCTGAGGCTAAAGCCAACTCCCGACTTCTGATGACACCTTTGGAAGTGTTAAGTCTCTCATGTGGATAAGTTTTACATTCGGAGTTATGAAATCTTTTCATTTTTTAGGAGGTTTTCAGCTTGTCTCCTGTTATCCACCTCAACAAGCAAGTTTCCATTTCTCAATTTTTTAACATTTTTTGGTGTTGCTTGTGCAGAGATAATTTTTTTCAATTAAAAATGGAGATAATTTAGCAAGACAGACCTCTTCCAGGGATTCAATGAAAATGAATCTGGGGAAGTCTGCTGTTTCACACTCAGTCTGATTCGGATAAATTTCTTTTAGTTTTTTTTTTATTTAAGGATGCCATGTTTGGGTTTTTATTTTTACTGGCCCTGTGCTCCACCACCCACCATGGAGTCCAACTTGAGAAGGGAATGAACCAAGGGGGTAACTCATTCACCTTGGTTGAGACAGGGATATATGACCAGTATACTCATATTAAAAGCAAGTCTTGAGCCTCTGCAAAATTTTGGTTATAAAGCCCTTCAATTTAACAGTGGTGAAAAAGTCTTTTGCTCTCAACACAGTTGAACCTCAGCCCTCCCGCCTTCTAGCATATATAAGATAAAGGGTTGTGAAATGTTCTACTAATATAGATTCAATAATACTATTGGGAGAAAAAGAAATATATATGAGCTAGGGCATGTTGGGACCAGCCGATTGATCGGGTCGGGCCTCTCCAGCCACCCGTCTAGCCCAGGTAAGGGCCAAAGTGGTGTGTCGCAGGACCACGACCTCTTTACACCTAGGTCATGGTCTGCTCAACCACCAGGATCCCATCTCCAGGCATCATGGGTTGCCACCCACAGCTAACAGGTGGCCCCATTGTGGGACTTTTACCCTCTGCAAGGGGACAGTTGGCGTATTCTGATGCCCCGCCAACAGGGCATAGAGTTCATGTTTCACTTGAACTGTTAATAATCTTTGCACAAAACTTGATATTAATTCTCTGCTCCAGATTCCTTTCATTTTCCGTCAACAGTATAACATGTACAACCTCCTCTACTGTTCAGAAGTTGGAACATGTCCAGATGTGTTCATGCACTAATGTTTCTCTACCTCATTATCCCATTCACACATTGTTGCCATTCCCAAAATTAAATTTTCGCACTTTGTAAGTTGAATTATTGATTAGTTAAGAGATGTATCAGTTGCATAACAGTTATCTGCATAGAAAGTGAAATTGTTGAGCAGAGTTCAAGTTCTGTGCTAGTCTATTGAATTTGTACTATGGTTGTTGGAAAGGCATGAATCCATTTATTTTTCCTTTAGCTATGGGTTAAATAGCAGTGCAGATTGGGTTCTCAAACTGAGGGTGAGAACCAGTCTAAGAGA